AATTAATTCAAAGGACCAGTAATTCTCTTTGCTTGGAATTCATGCCGTTCTTTAACTCTTTAGTTCGTTTTTTCGAACATTCTTCAACCACCTGCTAAAGTAGGCATTGAGTATTGGGAAGAGGTGCCCTATAGGTAAAAGCAGGGAAGTTGCAATCTGTACTGTAAATATGGGGACAGAAGTGTGAATGGAGCTGGCAGGGCATCTTGACTGGGGTCCAGAGAGGAAGTGGCCTTTAAGCAAAGAACTGAAGCACTGTAGAAGCTTACTAGGTGGGCAGAGGTATTTTAGACACAGGGAGCTTTATAAAGCTTCATGATCATAAAATCAGCCTAAGAAACTAGGAAGGGAAATGGAACTAGCAGATTTTCCAGATTTGTTTGTTTTGGAAGCTCTCTCGAGGCAGAAGAATCCCAAGTTCAAGGCCAGCCTGGTCAACTTAGACTCTGTCTCAAAATAAAAAGGGCTTGTGATATAGCATAGCACTCTTGGGTTCAATCCTAAGTATCACCACTTTAAAAAAAAAAAAGATAATGACTAGACATCAGAAGTGAGAAAGATACGAGAGCTCAACAATAAGTAGTAGCAAAAAGACTGGAGAGGCTATGTTGGATTTGTGAAGTCACTGTGACGTGACATGTAGGGCCCTTATGGTTTGGGTGTGTTGAAGTCCAGAGCAGAGCATCTGTAAGAGTGAATTTGAGGAAAACCTTGAGGTTTCTAACTTGACCGACTGTTTGATCTCGTGAATCTGTTATCAGAAAGCAGGGCAGGTTTTGGTTTAGAGTGAAGAGAAAATATGCAACAGAAAACAAGGCTACATGAACTAACTGAATATTCAGGTGGGAATTTGAGTCAAGCACAAGTGAATGTAGAGGCAATATTGCATAGTGACTGAGAGCACAAGCTTTGGGCTCAAAGCTAAATTAAAATCCAACTCTCTTGCCAGGCGTGGTGGTGCATGCCTGTAATCCCAGCACTTAGGAGGCAGGAGGATCGCTTTGAGTTTGAGGCAGTGTGAGCCACATAGTGAGTTCCAAGACAGCCTGAACTACATAGTGAGACCCTGTCTCAAACAAAAGAAAAAAACCACAACTCCTCCTTTCAGATCATATTATCTTGGGGCCATTATTTAACTTCTCTGGATCTTTTTCCTCATTTGATCTTCAATTCCACTTTGTTCATATTTATTACTTTATTTTTCCAGTACTGAGGATTGAACCCAGGGCCTTTGCACAGAGCTACATTCTTATCCCTTTTTATTTTTTATTTTGAGACAGGGTCTTGCAAAATTGCTAAGTTCCTGGCTTGGCTAGTACATACAATCCTCCAGCCTCAATCTTCCTTTGTTTTCATTTGCCACACAGCTATTTGCTCTTTTTATTTATTTATTCAGTGTCTGTGGTTCTCTCCCACCCCCACCCCCAGGCACTGGGGACCGAAGCCCCAGCCTCACATAACATTAGTTCCCTTGAGCTACATCCCCAGCTCTTTTCATTTTTTTTCAGAGCCTTGCTTAGTTTCTCAGGCTGGCCTTGAACTTGTAGTCCTCATGCCTCAACCTCCTCGAGTAGCTGGGTTACAGGTGTGTACCACCACGCTAGGCAAAATCTTCATCAAGCAGTAACCTTGCTCTATTCGGTGTCGTCTTTCTCTCTCACACGGCATGAGACTTGGCTTTCACCCATGTAGACTTGAACCTGTGCGGGCTGTGATGGGGGGGTGGGGCACCACCCAGCCCTTGAGTACACTGAGTTCTCTGTCTTTTCTGTGTTCTTCCCATTAGCTGCATGCTCTGTGTCAAGATACAAATTATTATGATTATCACAGAAATTCACCACCGTGGTTTACACTTGTTGAATTCCTACTCAGTGCCTTCACTCTGTTGAGTTCTTTATGTGTTACCATGAGCACACATAACAACCACAACCACGGAATCATTACTTACTCAGTGGCCAGTAGCTGGCAAGTGGCAGGGTGAGGATGGACCCAGATATTATGTTTTCTCCACCCCAGTACCCCGCTTTTCATCTTAATCCCTCTCAATAAAATGTGCCAATGTATTGTGTTTCTGAACAAATTGTAAGCATATCCTGGTGGCAGTAGCCCAGGCATGGATTGGCTTGTATTTCAGGAGTTACTGTGTGGGTTTTCATTTCCTGTGTTACAGTCCCACAATCTGGGAATAAATTATAACTTCAAAAGAGTAAAGATATCCATCACCGTATCTTGTGGTTTCAGGCATGTTATTCTTGTATAAAGCTGCCTCTTTGTGAAATTAAGTGAGACCATGATTTAAGTACTGAATGACTTGTATTAGTCGGCTGGAGCTACCGTAACAGAGCACCATGTCTTTAACAATGGACTAATTTTATTATCTCACAGACTTGGAGGCTGGGAAGTCCCAGATCAGTGTTTGGTTTAGTTTCTGGTGAGGGCATTCTTCCTGGCTTGTGGAGGATCCCTTTGTCCTCCTGTGTTCCTTCCTCTGAGAACAAGCAAAAACAGAGAGAAGGGAGCTCTCCAGTGTGGTCTTATGAGGACACTAATCTTGTCAGATTAGGGCCACCCTGAGGTACTCATTTGACCTTAATTACCTCTGAAAGGCCCTATTTCGAATGCAGTTCCACTGGAGTTTAGAACTTTGATGTATGATTTTGGGACTGCAGGACACAACTTTAGTCCACTGTAATGGCTGATATTTTTTTTTAACCTTTAGAATTCTCATTTCTTAATGAGAAAATGTGGAAGTCTTGAAATTATCTGTCATTGATAGGAAATATTTTGTGTCTAAAATTGTTAGGATGAATTAACTTTCATTTCCTACTAAAATATTGAAATCTCTTATGTGTTATCCTCCAGTCTAAACGAGCACATGATCTGTGCTTAGTAACTCACTGTAGCACTCACCAGCATGCTGTGCCATAACAAGAAAGAATTATTTTCTATTTCATCATTGTTTGCCTATTCACTGTATGACTGTTGTAGTCAGCAGGATTGGGCAATGGAATACATTAAATACAGAACACATTACTTATAAGGTTATTTTATGATAATTTCCCAAAGAGTCAAATGCAAGGAGTGCAAGAGATTAACCTCACACTAGAGGTCCAGAACATTCACCTGAGGGCCTAGACCCCAGCAGTTTCCCACACAAGTCCAGCTAAAGGCTTAGAGTCCAAGGCAATGTCCTCCTCGAGTCCAGACAGTGGCCCAGAGCCCACGGCAATGTCTCACGCTTGTCCGTATTGAGGATCTGCACCTGGCAGGCCCAAAGGCCAATGGTGGAATCCAGACAATCTATGCTCGTGAGATGCAGGATCTGTGACTCCAAGCTGAGGGATCCAAATTGAAGCCTGGAAGTGATGCTCACGGCAAAGATTTGAGCTCCCCTGATGAAAGCAGCAGCCATTCCCAGGGAGAGCGAGCTCCTGAGCTCCTCCTCCAATGAGAACAGCTGAGTTCACATCAGGAAAACCATCTGCAATAAGCTTCTCCTAGAAAATCAACAGGCCGAGATCTTCCTCCCCAGTTCTCTTTTTATGGCTGTTGGTAACAATCTTTAGGTGGATCCTCCATTCCCAGACCGTGCTGATTCAGTTCAGCTGGGCATTACAAGTTAACCATTAGTCAATCCGCAACAATGACCTTTTACAGACAATTGCTTAAACAAAGTGCTGCAGGAGGAGCTCCACTTCCTGGCAAAAAACAGAAGTGGAATAAAAATTTGAATAGAGAAATATTCTTCCTTCCACAGATTATGTGGGGTGATAATGTCTACTCCAGTTGAGATTTATACCACAGCCTTAAGAACACCTTTAACTTTCTGAATTGAAATAGTGATAATGACAGAAATAATAGTAATAGCTAAACTTTACTGAATGTTTACTGAGTACTGTACAGAGAACTATTCTAACTACTCTAAGTGTCGCTGCTCTTTTAATTCTCGCAATGAACCTATGAGGAAGTCCTGGTTTTTTATATGGTAGTTATCACAAAAACACTGCTGAGCTCAGGAAGCCATGGAGCTTTTGCAGAAGACCGTACAATGGCTCATTTTTCTCACATCTACCTATGAGGCTTATTAAAAATGCACATTACTTGGGCCAGGGATTTAGCTCAGTGGTTCCAGCGCCTGCCTTGCAAGTGCAAGGACCTGAGTTCGATCCCCAATACACACACACACACACACAAACACACAAATGCACATTACTTATATGAGGCTCTGAGTTCAATACCCAGTACAGCTAAAACACATGTGCATGCTGAGTCCCTGTCCTGGAATTAGTAAATCTGAATATGAGAGAGCCGGGGATTTAGCTCAGTGGTTCTGCTGCCTACCTCGCAAGATCAAGGATCCAAGTTTGATCCCCAGTATTAAAAAAAAAAAATCTGAATATGAGAATTAGAGCCTAAGAGTTTGGATTTTTAAATAGACATTCCCACCCACCGTGCGTCCCCCCTACCCCAGTATATCAGAACTTATTCTGACATGCATTACAGTTACAAAGCTACTGCTTTAAAGGATGGACCCGCTGGGATTAAAATGATAGCGGTTTCCCACCAGGACAGTAATAGCAAAAATAGGAGAGAGGCACAGTTTTTTGGAAAGCACAGAAGGAGTCTGGTCTGATTAGAGTGAAGAGGCTGTTTTGAAAGCAGTGAGGAGAAAAGCCAAATAAGGATATCAATATCAATGTCAGGACTGAGGACAGAGCATGCAACATATATGCCTCATTCTTTGCCAAACTGGAGGTCTGTGTTGGTGCCGAAAAAGTAGAATTCAGTGCATCTCCTTCTACCTCATTGCAGCACATTATCTTAAAAGGGAACAGCATGGCCATACTTTCTCCCTGGGAGTCTGAGGAAAGCAAAGGTTAGTCTTGACCAATACAAGATCACAGAACCCATCTCTGTTAAATGTGAACTATTTACACAGCCTTGGCCTATTCCAAGTTTAAACCTGCCTGTGTTGGATTTCTCCGTTTTCCCTCCTGAAGCTGCACGAGAAATCGCCTGGCTAGAAAAAGAAGAGCGAGCCAGGCTGCACTATGAGAAGCACCTGGAAGAGCGGAAGAAGAGGCTGGAGGAGCAGCGGCTGAAAGAGGAGCGGAGGAGGGCTGCCGTGGAGGAGAAGCGAAGGCAGAGGCTAGAGGAGGACAAGGTGAGTCAGCCCTTGCTCAAGGAGGTACACGGGAGTTTGCAAGATGCACACACTTGCTGTGGAACTGTGCAGTCAGATGTCGGAATGCAGAGGTTTCAGAGTAATCGGTCTTCCACATAGGCACAGGTGCTAGGCTGAGTGGGTGGCAGGTAGAGAATGGACTGATTAACAGTAATTCAACTGTTAGGTGTTATCAGTTTTTGCAAAGATGGAAATTTAGACTCAGAATGGGTGAGTTACACAAGGTCACATCCCTCGATAAAATCATGGGATCAGCATTTCTTATGCACATTCTCAATTCTGAATCCCACTTTTTAAATCCGGTACCATATGATTGCAGGGCAGCGGGGCAAGCCTGTAAACCCAGCTACGTAAGAGGAGGATTGCAAGTTCAAGGCCAGCCTGGCCAGCTTAGTGAGGATTCTTTGCCTCACAATTAAAAAATTAAAGGAGGTTAGAGTTACAGCTCAGAGGTAGAGCACAGCTGGGCTCAATCCCTAGTACCAATGGCTGGGTGGGTGGGTGGATGATGGTTGGATGAGTGAATAAACAAACATGGGGCTAAGGCCATAGCTTAGCGACAGAGAATTCGCCTAGCATGGGTTCAATTTCATGCAAAAAGTAAAATAAAAAAGCAAAGTAAAATAAAATAAAATGTGGTACCATACGCATTAAGCGTCTTTTTAAGCTAAGGCCTGCACTGTCATGCTGCTGTGTGGCAGTGAAAGTACCACACCCCGAGTGAGGGCCATTTATCTGAGTGCCTGTTGTGTACCAAAGGCTTTATGAACTGGGACCTAAGGGTTCAATAACTTTTAAAGATAGATATTATTTTCATCTTAAAATAAGGCATAGAAGTTGGGAAATAGATTTGAAAATTTAGAAAATACCCTCAGTCTTAAATTGAAAAAGCGAGGTTGAATTAACCATCGGCTCCTCATTCCTCTTAAGGAACGCCTAGAAGCCGTTATCCGACGTACAATGGAAAGGAGCCAGAAACCCAGACAGAAGTACAACCGATGGTCCTGGGGAGGCCCTCTCCGTGGGAGCCCCAGCATCCACAGCTCAGGTAAACACCTGGAGACCACTTTCAAGCATCATCTTTGTTGTTCTCCCAGACAGTGAAAGTGCATTTGCTGCTTCTTTTAAATCTGTGTTTGCAAAACAAAAATCCTGCTGAAATCATTGAGCTGTAATTGAATGATGCCTCTCCTGTTTGAGGATAAGGGGTGATATGGAGGTAAAAAGATAGGGTCCTTTCCCTTAACACGTGCTGCTTTTCTTACATCTTATAAAAATCTGTGAATGGTCTTGAAAACAAATGTGCTAGACTCAACTCTTGTTTTACTAGCTCATTTGCGTAAGTGTTTCAGGATTATGGAATAAATTAACCAGTTTTATTTTTTGGCTCTGGAGGAACCATAGTAATGTTAACAGGTCAAAATCAGTAAAATGAGCCCATACATTCTAACCCCGAAGTGTATTTGAGAAAGTGTGCAGGTGTCTTAAGCTAGAAATACTTCCTCCTTGGGTGGGTGGATGATGGTTGGATGAGTGAATAAACAAACATGGGGCTAAGGCCATAGCTTAGCGACAGAGAATTCGCCTAGCATGGGTTCAATTTCATGCAAAAAGTAAAATAAAAAAGCAAAGTAAAATAAAATAAAATGTGGTACCATACGCATTAAGCGTCTTTTTAAGCTAAGGCCTGCACTGTCATGCTGCTGTGTGGCAGTGAAAGTACCACACCCCGAGTGAGGGCCATTTATCTGAGTGCCTGTTGTGTACCAAAGGCTTTATGAACTGGGACCTAAGGGTTCAATAACTTTTAAAGATAGATATTATTTTCATCTTAAAATAAGGCATAGAAGTTGGGAAATAGATTTGAAAATTTAGAAAATACCCTCAGTCTTAAATTGAAAAAGCGAGGTTGAATTAACCATCGGCTCCTCATTCCTCTTAAGGAACGCCTAGAAGCCGTTATCCGACGTACAATGGAAAGGAGCCAGAAACCCAGACAGAAGTACAACCGATGGTCCTGGGGAGGCCCTCTCCGTGGGAGCCCCAGCATCCACAGCTCAGGTAAACACCTGGAGACCACTTTCAAGCATCATCTTTGTTGTTCTCCCAGACAGTGAAAGTGCATTTGCTGCTTCTTTTAAATCTGTGTTTGCAAAACAAAAATCCTGCTGAAATCATTGAGCTGTAATTGAATGATGCCTCCCCTGTTTGAGGATAAGGGGTGATATGGAGGTAAAAAGATAGGGTCCTTTCCCCTAACACGTGCTGCTTTTCTTACATCTTATAAAAATCTGTGAATGGTTTTGAAAACAAATGTGCTAGACTCAACTCTTGTTTTACTAGCTCATTTGCGTAAGTGTTTCAGGATTATGGAATGAATTAACCAGTTTTATTTTTTGGCTCTGGAGGAACCATAGTAATGTTAACAGGTCAAAGTCAGTAAAATGAGCCCATACATTCTAACCCCGAAGTGTATTTGAGAAAGTGTGCAGGTGTCTTAAGCTAGAAATACTTCCTCCTCCTTGAGTGGACCATAAAATCATACTGAAATGTGGACCTCATGACAAGCTTTATTTTTGTACTGTAAATTCAATACACCGTGAATTTTACATAGCATGTCAACTCTTTCATTTGTATGAGTCAAATAATTTTTTTTTATGATTTACTTTGGAAAATCATGTCTTACGTTCTGTCCCCAGGTGGTATTGTTGAGCCATCATTCACCTTTCTCGATTTAGCAGGCCTGGACCACCACAGCACAGCCTTGGGTGGTAATAGCAAACCTGGTACAGACTCCCTGTGATTGCTGACTGCCACCCCGTAGCTAGCTCCTCAGACCCAGGACCAGTCCATCCATAGCTGGACCAATACCACCTTAGCAATACTGCATGCTTACTGCCTGCCATGCATAGACCTAGATCTGGGATCAGCACAGTGCTTCTTAAGTGTGATCATAGGATTTGGGTGACTTAAAGGTGTTGAAATAATTACATGTGGCATGTTTGCTTTCTCTTGAAATGAGCATTTTGGAGAAAACCTTTTTTAAAAAATTTTTTAGCAAAAAAACTACTTAGGCTCAAAGTGCATCCAGTTTAGCTCCCTTTCCTCCCAGTCCTACTGCTAAAGCTGCTTTTAGCTTTACCTAATAACTGAACTCTTGTTTGTCTGCTGTTTTTCATTCCTAACATGCTGTGTATCTTCTATAACCCTTTTATTAAAAAAAGAAAATCTAATGAATATCACAACTCACTTTCCCATGGCAGTGAGTTAAATTGGAGAGCACCTTTTTTTCCCTTGGCTCTTTACACCCTGTGGTAGTTGGTGAAACACATCAAATCTGTGATCATAAAGGTTGTTTACATGTGATATTTTATTATTTTTAATTTTCATTTCATTTTGAAATAGGTTTATTTTATGTTTATTAAGTTGGCCTTGATCTCACTGTATAGCCCAGGCTCACCTCAAATTCACAAGGCCTCAGCCTCTCACACATCATGTTTCATTCTAGGATGATTTTGTATATATATTCCATGCAGAAAAAAATGTCATGATATATATTTTTATAGCTTTTTTTCTTTTACTTGGCTTCATATTTTATATGTGTCGCATAAATACACTTACAGATTGTCAAACATTTGTAAGGAAAAATAAAGCTGCTTAGCCTTAATTCTTGCTTTTATGCTGAAAGGTTAATATGACATTTAGTTCTGTCACTCAGAACAAGAGAAACCAATAGTCCATTTGTGAGCTGTGGAATTGTATTAAGACCACTGAATTAGGGCTGGGGATTTAGCTCAGTGGTTCCAGGGCCTGCCTCACAAGCACAAGGACCCAGGTTCCATCCCCAATACAAAAAAAAAAAAAAAAA